TGTTACCGGTGTGTGCCGCCTGACCCAGGTATAGCTGCTGCTGCTCTAGGTGCTAGTGAGTCTGGTACTCTCTCTGGTACTGCGCCTGCTCAGGCCTTGCACACCTTCACGCTGGACTCAGGCGCCTCTGCTTGTTTCTTTTGTGACAGCACCACCCTCACTCCTCTCTCTACACCTGTCCCGGTCCGACTGGCTGACCCCTCTGGGGGCCCGGTCGTGGCCCGTTCCTCCACTGTCCTCCCGTGTCCGGCGGTTCCGTCCGGCTCACTGTCAGGTCTTCACCTCCCCTCGTTCTCTGCGAACTTGGTGAGTACCGCTGCCCTCCAGGATGCGATGGTCACTACCACCACTCCTGGGGGTCAGCGTGTGACGATCTGCACGTGCACACGGACGGGGCGTCACCTGACCACGTTCACTCGTCGGCCAGGGTCGAGTTTGTACACACTCGCTACCGAGCCTCCTCAGGTAGCTGCGTCTGCTCAGGTGTTCGCGTCAGGTCAGGTAGCCGCCCCTTGCTCGTGCCGCCTCCTGTCGCACCAGACTCTTCTGTGGCACCACCGCCTGGGTCACCCCTCCCTGCCACGCCTTCGTGGCATGCACTCTCATCTTGTTGTCTCTGGTCTTCCCAGGTCCCTGCCTCCCCTACCGCCCTCGCTTGCCCCGCCCTGCCTTCCTTGCGTCGAGGGGCGGTAGCGCGCCGCTCCTCACTCCTCCTCGTTTCCCCCGACGACTGCTCCCCTGCAGACTCTCCACATGGACGTGTGGGGCCCAGCCCGTGTCAGTGGACAGAGCCGCGAGCGCTACTTTCTGCTGGTGGTTGACGACTACACGCGGTACACCACGGTCTTCCCCTTGCGCAACAAGGGTCAGGTCGTTGATGTCTTGATCCCTTGGATCCGCACAGTCCATCTCCAGCTCCGCGAGCGTTTTGGCCAGGACCTTCCTGTCCTGTGTATGCACTCTGACAGAGGTGGTGAGTTCTCCTCCAACCTCTTGCGGGACTTTTGTCATGGGGAGGGCATTCTCCAGTCGTTCACGCTTCTGGACTCCCCTCAGCAAAATGGGATTGCTGAGCGCCGCATTGGCTTATTCATGGAGGTCGCTCGTACCTCCATGATCCATGCGGCTGCTCCCCATTTTCTGTGGCCGTTTGCGGTCCGGTACGCTGCGCATCAGCTTAACCTCTGGCCCCGTGTCTCCTTGCCGGAGACCTCGCCCACACTGCGTTGGACGGGGGAGGTTGGCGATTGCGTCGGTGTTCCGGGTCTGGGGATCTCGTGCCTTTGTTCGGGATACGCCCGCGGACAAGCTCTCCGCCCGCGCTAGGACGTCACGTTTGACGAGTCGGTCCCCTTTTACCGTCTCTTCCCCCAAGAGTAGTCATCTTCGGGGTGGGGGAGAAGGTCTGAAAGTAGTCAACCCCCTGTCGCTGACTGAAGCCTCGAGCAACGTAACGCGCCTTGAAGGCAGGCGGAGAACCCGGCGGCCGCTTCACCCTGAAAATCCACATGCCATCGACTATGTTCGCCCCAGACGGGGGAACTGCGTCGACGTAGGTGCCTGTGGTGGGATTACGTTTATCATCTGAAGAAACATTCGGCGAAAGCCAAGGCCCACGCACTGGACGGAGGAGGCGCCGCTAACGTTGACGTCCCTGCATACGCAACCGTGCCCGGCACCAACGTCGGGGAGACTTTGGCTCCTCCCTCGCAGGGACGTCACCGCGGTAACCGACGTGGAGCGGCATCACAAGGTGAGTTGTTCCTCAGTAAGTGCACGGTGGGTAAAATGACATTGTTCCAATGCTTCAATGCCTGCGTTGTGACTGCCAGGAACAACATTATAGCCATGCGCTTTAATACTATATTTCACTGACAAGCATACAGACAATATCAAAGCCGCCTTATTGCCATACGTCCCTACACCCACCCCTACAGATGTTGTAGTCACACCACCACCCAAACGAAGGCGGATAGACGAAACCGCCACAATGGCAGCAGCAAAGCTTGTGAGCGACGCCATTAACTCCTCCAACGCGATGGCGTTGCGCCAGCTACAAGACTCCACGCAACTACTTGTCGCTGCCATGAATATGGCGGCGATGCAGGCTGGCTTACGACAGGAGATGGCCAGTCCGCCCGTACCACCTGCGGCGCCCGCGACTACGCCGCCACCAGCACCGCCTGCAGACGCAAGCGATGCCAACATGGCGGGGTCGGAGGATGTGGCGGAGCAGCACGAGCCTTAGCACGCGGTGGATGACACACGGTGACGCCGGAGGTAAGCGCGATGGATGTGCTTGCCGAAGTGGTGCCGGCGCGCGCGCAGATCGACAAGCATAGGGTTGTCTAGGCTCCGCCACTCATACTTATCCATGCCACTCCTCGTCCACCAGCCGTTCGGGAGTCCAGCCCATATATAGCGGCGGGGGTTGTTCGTTTTCATCCTGGGCGTACTAACGGTCTGCAGCATGTTGTGCAGGATGATGATGCATGCCGTCCCTGCACACACGTGCCAGAGCTTGCTCTCGTGCCTGCGCGCGAAGAGCCTCCAGCGTCCCTTAAGTGCACCAATCGTGCGCTCGACCACCATGCGCGTAGCAGACTGGACGTAGTTGTACGTCTGCTCCCACTTCTTCATCAGGCGTCGTCGTGGAGCGTGAAGGGGGGTGAGCATGTAGGACTTCAGAGGGTAGGCCGCATCCCCCACAAGCTGATAGGGGGCGATTTCCCCACTCTCTAGCCTGCCATGAAGATCCGATGTAGAGAAAACACCTTGATCATGCATTGAGCCAGGATTGCCAACCATGTAATCCCATATGACACCCTTTGAGTCACACGTAACTTGAAGTTGCACGCTATAGACCGACTTCCGGTTGAAATAGTCACCACGGTGGGCCTCCATGCCCTTTATCTGAATGTGTGTCCCGTCAATCGCACCGATGACGTTGGGCACTCCTTTGATTGCGCGGAAGTCGAGTGCCATCTCCTCTCTCACTTCCTCCGGTGGGAACTGCACCCAGTCGCGCTTGAACTTGCGGGGGAACCACACCAAGAAGGAATCTACCAGGCGGTGGATGAGTCCCCTGGGCAGTCCAAACATTATACTTATGTCGTGATACGTTATAGCACTTGCAAAGTATTTAATCGGGATGAGACAGCAAAGACACAATGGAATCTCATTCACTTCGACAAAACGAGACATGGGAAACTTCATTTTGTCATCAATGATGTCGAGGACTTCGCGCGTAATGCGGAAGGTATCTTCGAACTCCTCGTCAAACATCGCGCAGATCTCATCGGCCCATTCTGCGACTTGTGCCTGGCGAGTCCGTTTCCGACTCTCGCGGCGCTCGGTTTCACGGAGCACGCGCTCCTGTTCCATGGTCTGTGCCATAGGGAGGAGTGTGGATATCCACTCTACAGCGGCTAGAGAAACTACACGCTGCCACGAGTTGAGAAGGTACTCATGCCACAGGTGTAAGGCAACACAAAGTATGAGCACATGTGCTGTGAGCATGGTTTATGGCAACCCGATTAGCGACGATGAAAGATGCATGCAGCCATCTTGAGCTGAAAAGTGCTCTCAAGGCGCCCGCTATGTTGGCACCGCGGAGGGAGAAAGGAGCCTTGCTGTGGTGCCGCCTTGTGCTTGTAAACATGGCGTCCGGAGCGTGGGAGAGCGAGAAATGGTGTGGTGTCGGGGCTTGTATCGGTGAGCATGGTCACGTCAGTTATACTTGATTGAGTTGGACGTTATTGGTGTATATGGGACATTGACGGGCGTGAGATGAAAGAAAACGTCCGTCTAAAGAGGGCGACCCAACCTGGGGTCGCAGCTCAATCTGATTGGTAGGGGACACATTGAACACCCCAGTCGCATGCAGTTTGCTAGATGACCCGAAGATCGGACGGCGGGCGCTTCCAGAGTCCAGTTTGGGTCATGCGCTAAATGCGGATGCCCCAAACAGTTGAATGAATAGTGCTCATGACCGGAACCAAAGTTACGCCCTCAAACCGTTTGTGTTGGCTTTGGTGCATCCCGAGCCTTGTGCCTGGTTCGCTTTTGGCTCTTTGCAGGTTTCGCGTGACTTTTTCTTCCTCGTCAGAGAACATTTCGTGCATCGCCAGCAAATCACCTGTCTTCCAAGCAAACCAAAGGTAATACGCTAGAAAATATGAGACCCGGGTTTTAAGCAGCTCAGGATGACGAGGGTCTGCTAGTAGCACTTACAGACCTCTCTTTAGACCGTCGCGAAGCAAGTTTCTACTTGTGCGAAAGCCGTGGATGCTTATTACTGTTTTAGTGATGCTGCTACTTATTGCTTCTTAGGCTATATTCCAGGATTCGTGACCTGAAAAGTCGAGTACGCGTGCCAGTAGGCGCCATGGACGATGCTTCGCAGTGCAGAACGCGCTCGCAGAATGTGTTGAACTTAAGTTGTGGAGATGTTAGCAGCGCATCTAGATCGAGGCAGCAGCAGCAGCGTTTGCGTCATACATCCACTGCTAATCGCCATGACTGCCAGAAAACAGTAACCGGGGATCTAGAATGTCAACAGCGTCGAAGCGGTATCTGCGCATATCGCGTATTCCGGCGCAGAGGACGGCAATCCCTAGCTTCGTTAGCACGTGCCTCGTTGCTCCTGCCGCTCCTTGTCTGCTCGACCGTTTTAACTTCTTCGCCAGTTTCCGTAGCCGTGGTCCTGGAGCAAGAGCAAGGTTTGTGCTTGTATCGCCACGTGCTTGTGTCGCGCGTGCCTTTATCCGTTTCGAGTGTGACTTAATTTCATTCGGTACACACAGACAGGGCTTGTGAAATCATCTCAAAAGTACCTCGAGCGTATTTTGAGTGAACCTCAGTGTGCGTCATTTCAAAAGCGATGCACAACACCATTCCTCTTAATAATTCTCCATAGACTCACGTTGATGCTACATTGATTAATAATTTTCCGGTTCTCCCTCGTCATCCCCGCCACTGTTCCCTGGGTGGGTGTCCAGGTAAGGTATTGGCGGAATGTGCGGTGGAGTTGGGTGCGACGGATTACAATTGGGAACCGAACGCTCCGTGCACGACGGACGAAGGCCTGGTGTGTAACGCTGACGGAACAGTCAACACCATGTGAGTTGTCTACTACAGCGACTATTCAGCACTCTATACGCGTTATAAATTCGCAGCGGTGAACCTGGCCGGCTATTCCAATCATCAGCGGACTTGTGTCGTCGACCTGTGAACAGTGTGTGTGCATATCTTATTCGCACACACACTAGGCAGTAAACAAACAAACGCTATGCGCGCACTGTGCTTAAGGTTGGGCAGAAGAACTTTTACATCCTTTAGAAAGTAAACAATCCTTTTGGAAAACATATGCTTCCCTGAACGGGGGGGGGGTGCTGCGAGCAATAGGCAGGACATTGTATATCCATGATGCGTTTGAGATGATGGCCCCAACGGAACTGCACGCGCAAGTGGGCATTATGATGGTGTCAACCTAAAACACGCACGGACCAAACACACATTTGTGATGCGTTTGAGATGGCGCAAAATGGAAATGCACACACATGTGGCATTCTGACTTCCTTCTTTCCCATATATATCCCTGTTTTTCTCACTCTCTCAAGCTTTTGCTGCACGTTCTCCCGGTCCCACAGTGACTTGTCTGGTATCGGTCTGCAAGGAAGCATCTGCTCCGATATAGGCAACCTCACTACGCTGGTTACACTGTGAGATGCATAGAATTTTGTTAAATGAATTTGGGTTCTCAATCAATTCTCGCCCCACCCAAACCCTCAGATTTCCCCGTCTTTTTTAGCTCGTTTGCTTTTCAACCCAACAACCCCCCCCCCCCCCCCCCCCCCCCCCCCCCCCCACCCCCCCTCTCCCCCCCCCTCCTACTCCCTGTATTCTTCGCTTCCGCCTTGCCACGCCCCCCCTACAACTCGCTGTCAGGCCCCAACCCTGCATGCATTGGGCGGTTCCCCTTCTCCCCGCTCCCTTTGCCACTCCCAACCTCCGGTCCTCCCCCCCTCCACCCCCACCCCCGTCCCCATCCCCGTTCTACAACTCGTTCTCATGCCCCATCCCTGCCAGCATTGGCCAGCTTTTTCCCTTTGCCCCCGCCTAGCTCACTCCGCTCCCCCTTCCCTCCCTCTCCCCCCCCAACCCCGGCCCCACCACCAGCGACCTGAGCTACAATTCATTGTCAGGCCCCATCCCTGCGAGCATAGGGCAGCTTCCCCGTTTCCCTCACCTTGCCACCCACTCTCCCCGCAATCCCTCCACCCCTCTTACCCGCGCCCCACCACCAGCGACCTGAGCTACAATTCATTGTCAGGCCCCATTCCTGCGAGCATAGGGCGGCTCCCCCTGCTGAAGACACTGTGAGTGAGAGAAGGAGGGAGGAGGAGGAAGGGATCAGCCGATTAGAGTGGGGAGGAGCAAAGGATGCGTGCAGTGACTGGTGAAGCGAGTGAATGGATGACTCATTATATTATCTTATCCGTTCAGCCACCAGCATAGGGCTCCGCCCACCAGCATCCCTCTTCCCTCTAGGAGAAGCTCCCTCTTTCCATCTTTCGCTCCCTCCCCGTAACTCACCCTCTCCGTATCTTTCCTTCCTCTCACCCACTTGCAACAATCTCTCATGAGTCATGGTATACCACGCTACAGAGGATGCAGTGCTCTCCCCATCTCCCGCTCCCCATTCCTCTTCTCTCCATCTCTCCCTCTCCCTATCTCTCTCCCGCCCTCTCTCCCTCTCTCTCTAACCCCCGCTCTCTCCCACACGCAGCGACCTCTCAGAAAACGTCCTGGAAGGTCTATCGCCTTCCACCATTAGTGTCTCTTTTTCTCCCTCTCTCTTTCTTCCCATCTCTTCCCAACTTTCGCTTCCTTTCTCTTGCGCCCACAGCGACCTCTCATACAACGTTCTAGAGGGTGCCTTGCCTTCCACCATCGCCTTTTGAGGCACGTCAGAAGAACTCGAATCTCATCCCTCCCTCACCACCATATCTCTCCCCTCTCCCCATCTCTCCCCTCCCCCTTCTCCCGCCCACAGCGACCTCTCATACAACGTTCTAGAGGGCGCCTTGCCTTCCACCATCGGCTCTTTATCCAGCCTTCAAACCCTGTACGCGTTTCTGCTCTTTGCCAATAAACTGTAACCACGCAGGACGCCTCATCAGTAGTTGCCTTCAAGTCCTGTACGCAGCACATTTCTTCTCAGCTGCTAAACTGTTCAGCTTTGAGATGTCTCAAAACTAGATTCATTGGCCCTTGCCTCCCAACATCGGCTCCTTATACGGCCTTCAAATCATGTGTTTGATTCATCTCTCCGACTTAGAGTCTAACCTGTACGCATTCCTGCTCTGTCCTCCAACTCCTCTCATCAGTCACTCTTTTGGTGGGAGCACGTAGAGAGCCTATTGGGCAATCAATGTCGATCATCTCTCCCTCGTGTTGTTCCTCATTCTCATCGCAGCATCTGTTTTCCAGCCAAGTGAATGGATATGGAAGGCTACCAATGTGTGTGCATACGTGTTTTTGAGGAATCATCAGGGATATTTCTGCTGTGGATTAGTTCTCGCTCTCATGGCAGCTACCTGTGCTGTGCTGTGCTGTGCTGTGCTGTGCTGTGCGGTGCGGTGCGGTGCGGTGCTGCGCACCAAGTGAAGTTCGAGTTGACTCACAATACGCCCCTTCCTTCCTCCCTTGTATTCTTCCTCCCTCTCATTGCAACTAACTGTGATCCACCAGCCAAGTGAATGCAAAGCTGCCTCGTGCTAGAAGTGCTAATTCTCATCTCAGCGATCTATACACCAACCAACCAAATGAAGTATAGTTTTGAGGCGCCTCAAAACTAGAAGTGCTAATTCTCATGTCAGCAATCTATACACCAACCAACCAAGTGAACCAAACAGAGCGATACCTCTGTCTGAGTGCTCTCACCACTTTATTTTTTCTTCTCTTTCCTGAGACAGAGACCCCTCAACAGTCTCTGATTCTTCCTTCCTCCCCTCATCCCAGCAATCTATACAACAACAATTTTAATGGAACAGTACCCGCGTCTCTGAGTGCTCTCACCAGCCTGAAGTTCCTGTTCGTCACACTCCTCTTCATTCCGAACTCTCCGTCATTCACACTCTCACTCACTCACTCTCACACTCGCTCAGACACTCTCTCGCTCGCTCACTCACTTACTCTCACGCTTCCTGACTCTCTCACTCACTCTCTCACTAGCTTTGTTGCTCCTTTCTCAAAAACCTTGATCTCAAACCCTCTTCTTGCCACCGTGCATGCACCAAATCCACCCGTGCTCCCTCAATCAGCGAGCTTGGAAACAACTCCTTTTTTGGAAGCTTTCCCACTGGCTTCGCGAAACTAACTCAGCTCACGCTCTTGTAAGTGTTACCTATGCTTAAGGCAGTGAAGTCTGGTCTGGACTTGTGCTGTTGACTGGTTTTGACTCCTGTTGACTGCTCTGGACTCGTACTGCTGACAGCATTGTGGATTCTGGCTGCTGCTAGTGTGCGATGCAAACCAGACAGCCTCGATTGCGGCTCGTTCTCCTGCCACCAGCTAGCAAGTACCTTTTCTCAAATCTCTCATCTCAGAGCCTGCCTTTGGACTCGTACTGCTGACATCATTGTGGATTCTGGCGGGCGCTAGTGTGCGAACCAGACAGCCTCGATTGCAGCTCGTTTTCCTTTCCACGAGCTTGCAAGCACCTTTTCCTCAGATGTCTCCGAGGCAGCTTCTGAGGCACCTTGAAAGTATTTTCATGGAATGACTTTGCAAGCGCTTCTTAGATGTCTCAGAGCAGTAATAGATGCCATGCCAGGAGCTCTGTGACTGACGTGTGTGTGCCTGATGTGTGACTGACCGTATGCCTGACATGTGTCTGACGTGTGCCTGATGTGTGTGACTGACTGTATGCCCGACATGTGTCTGACGTGTGCCTGACTTGTCACTGGCATGGCATGTGCATGGCTTGTGATTGACGTGTCACTGACGCCCGACATGTGCCTGACGTGTGATTGACATGTTATTCGCAGGTCGACTTTTGAGACATCTCAAAAGTCATGTGCGTGACGTGTGATTGACATGACGTGTGATTGACCTGACGTGTGATTGACATGTTATTCGCAGGTCGCTCTTCGTGAACAAGTTTGAAGGAGTGGTTCCCTCATCCATCTCTCGCCTCTCGAAGCTGCAAATACTGTATGACCAAAAAACGCCTGCAACAAGAAGCTACAGCTACTGTTATTGTGTAAAATAAAAGAAGAAGGAAAATAAAAGGATTTGCTGTGCTGTCTATCTCGCCTCGCCTTTCAAGGCCGTGCCTCTCACACTTCACACCTAAGTTGGAGTATACGCTTTTTGCGTCTAAGTTGGTCATTTACGTTTACGTTTACGTACGTACGTGTACGGGTACGTACGTTTACGCGGCTGTTGGGTTGGAGGCCTAATGTACGGGCAGGTGGAAAAATTTCTGGGCTGCCCGAGTATGTATATATTTTTTTACAGTACTCCCTCGTAATCATGATTTCCATCATATAGTGTAAACATTCCATTACAACCTCGTAATTTCCCAAATAACAAAAGTTCCATCATGCACGCGTCGTGCAGAATATCATATCATCCTTGCTCCTTCGGCTCTTCCGCTTCCTGGCCATCAAGATATGCCTCATCAGGGATGTCGTCGTCATCGAGATGCCCGTAGCTGTCAGTAGGTTCCTCCTTAACTTGGATCACAGGAAGCCCACTCACCAACAGCTTCTTAGCAAGATCCTCATTCAACTTCTTCACTGTGTGATAGTTGTGGCTCACGTACACTAGGTCGGCAAGGCGTTTCGCTCCAAGGCGATTACGACGAGCTGTATGGATTGACTCCCAAACGGCCCAGTTCGTCTCGCAAGGGGAGGCCGAGACGCATTGCTTGAGAACTCTCCTTGCAAGCTTGGAGAGGTGGGGCACGTCCGTGCCATTGAATTCCCACCAATGCGCCGAATCCAAAAGCCCAGCTTTGATGAGTTCATGTTCATCACGCGCTTTCTGCTCCCCAATGTCTCCCTTCCCCTTGGTGTATGTCAAGGCCTCTTTTTCGACGATGGTTGCGAGTGGCGCCATCACCCCTCCCATTTTCACGAACTCACCCTTGCAGTAATTGCGAATGAATTGCTTGAAGATCTTGGTACACTCCACGTCCGTTCCAAATATTGACTCGTATTGGTTTGGCGGGTACAGAATCCGTCCGACCACGTGAAGCGCGCAGTTGATGTCGTTGTTCCACCGATTCCGCACGATGTCGGTCACATCCTCGTTCTCCTCCTCGGTTAGCTCCTTACACGCCTCCTTCACCGCGTCCTCCAAAACAAACATTTTGTCATAGATCTTGCCCATCACCTCCTGATTGCCGTCAACATTCCGCAACAGCTTATAGACCGTACGAAGCACATCGAGCACCGTCCCAACGCGCGCCCAGAACTCTTTGTCGATAATAGTATCCCATGCGTCCTTCATTTTCGGCTTTCACTTGACGTACTCCTCCCAATCCTCACTCAGCACCAGCTTGTCGAGAGTTTTGCGCACTGCTTGCAGGCGTTCAAGGGCGATGTAGTTTGTTCCAAAACGAGTGCCCGCAGGTTTCAAGATTTGTAGCGCCTTCTCCTTCCGAAGAACCCCCGTAATCCAGTGAGCGTTCTTCAGCGTCGAAATTAGCTGTTGCACGCGGTTGATGGTATCCTTGGCCCAATCGAGTTGGCCAATGTCCTTCATCATAAGATTGAGAGAATGCGCAGCCCAACGAATCCACTGAACTTTTGGGTAGTCGAGGGCGATGATGCTGGCAGCGTTGACATTCGCGGACGCACCGTCCATCAGCAGGCCGACTACGTTCTCCGTTCCCACCATGACCATTGCCGTCTTCAAGTGGCCAGCAATGAATTCTGCTCCCTTCTTCTCCGTGCCGCAATCCACCCCAAAAAGAAATACGGATGCAATCGCATTGACAGCTAAGAAGTTCAGCTGCGGACGTCCTTCGCTGTCGGTCCAACCGTCACACGCGATGCACACCCCGACATCCTTCCATGAATCCTTCACCTCCTTCAACGCAGTGTCGGTGTTCGCCTTGCACTCCTCCAACAATCTTCCCATTATTAGCCGTCGTCCAGGAGGTGTAAATCCTGTACCAGCAGCAGCAACCTTTTTCAGCATCGTCTTGAAAGCATCGTGCTCCGCAACATTCGGTGCAATACGACACACGTGGAAAAACGTTGCGATGGCTAGTTGCGCACTCGCCGCGTCGACGGGTTTGGGGCGAGTATCCATAAGCGTACGTTGCGTCGCCTGTCTCTTGCGCGCCATGCTGCTACTTTCCGCTACGTTGGAGCCACTCGCCCCCATGCTCGCCGACTTGGTGTTCGTAGTAGACGATGGCGAGAATGCATTGGACGTTTTCTGTTGTGCTTTCTCGCGAGAATCAGAGTCCCTTCTCTTATCATCCATCGCGGAACGGATTTTCTCCTTATCCTCAGGTGTAGCTGAGGCGCATGGCGTGATTCCGCTCCCTGGAATTCCGAGAATGTGTGCCTGAGCTCGCGCCACATTCAATTTCCACGACTTACCACATCGCTTGCATTTCTTCGCTAGCGTAGAATCAAACGTTCCGCCCTCAGGAACAATGAAGCATCGCCACACGGGATGCTCGGAGGTCTGCATAGGGGTCTCCATAGTACTAGTATAATTTGTTGGAGAGTTGATTGAGTAGATAGATTGATAAGCTAGCTGTGATCTTTGGTTAAGCGTGGTGACTTTTGTTATACTTACTAGCTATACCTGCAAAATAGTTCTTTGCCGTCGAATCGCATTGCTAGTTTCCGGTTATGACTCGCGGAAGGTGCAGGCACGCGTTTGCGCGTCTTACGGTAGGTGCAGGAAAGTCACTCGATGTAAATTTAGATTTGAATCGGCGAATTGGTTTGACTCGAAGTTGGGATTCGCCGAAACCAGTGAAGCTCGGCGGTGACGAAACTGCCGAGAGGGTGACATTTGCTTACCTTGCAAGCGAAGCGATCGCGAGCTGAGTCAAACTGTTCGCAATGTTCAGATCTACTCCGACCACAATTTCCTCCCTCCCTCTCTCGACAGACTTAGCTATCGTAGTTCTACCTCCTTAGTCGACATAGTACGAAGGGTCGTCGCCACACCATAGCAAGCCTAGCTAGCAACCTTCCTGTTTCTTACATTACTACCTTGAAAAACGTCGCGCCATTTTACTAACACGCTAACAGAGCACAGGTCATCGAAAGCTTGTTTCTTTTTTAGGTTTTCGGAAACCGTTTTCAAAGAAATTTCTAGGGGATTTTTTTTTTTACCTGCCCGGCATACGTACGCGTACGTACACGTAAACGTACATGTACGCGTACGTTACGTGTACGTGGGCTGAAATGGCGTAAATGACCAACTTAGTTTTGCGTTCCATAAGCTAGCGTATAAACGCCAAACGTTTCTTGGGAGGGGTCCGGTACGCAGTGAATACCCATGCCCGTGCACATAAAAGTTTTTTTTGGGCAGTTTGTTAGGTTCAAAGGCGGGGATGTGCGAGGTGCAAAGCACGAAGTTGGTGCCTACGGTCTAGTCATACTTGTCGTTAAGAACGAGGTAGGTAAAAACGGCGTAAAAATATCCGAATGATGAACATCGAATGGAGAAATGAGCCGCATTTCTGCTAGGAGAGGTGAGTCTGTTTGAATCCAATCCAACTGTGAAGTGCTCACGCACGCCACTCACTCTGCACTGGACACGCCACTTCAAATTTTCCTAGTCTTTGATTGAAAAAAATACTTTGATTGAAGGGGTCGTTCCCTGGTCCATCTCTCGCATCGCAAAGTTGTTTGTGAAAGAGTGAGTGTCTCACTCACTCACTTTCTGAGGCGCCACAACAACACAGAGTTTGAAAGAATGGTTCTCTGGTCCACATGATTGAAGAAGTGTTTTGAGACGTCTCAAAACACTTTTTCTAGTTTTGAGGTGCCTCAAAACTAGACTGAGGCGCCACAACAACACAGAGAGTTTGAAAGAATGGTTCCCTGGTCCACGTGATTGAATGGCGCCACAAAGAAGAGTTTTGAGACGTCTCAAAACACTTCTTCAATCACGTGAGTTTGAAAGAATGGTTCCCTGGTCCATCTCTCGCCCCTAGACGTGGCGAATGTTGTACCTCTCACTTAGGGATGAGCAAGGGGCGAACACAAACATGTTCGTGTTCGTGTCCCTACACATCCGTTTGCCGAACCGAACACTGTTCGGTTCGGCGAACACTTTAAGCAGAAATAGGTGTTCGCCGTTCGCCTGTGAAGGCGTGTTCGGGCGAACCTCGAACACGTTCGTGTTCGTCGCGGGGCAAATTGCAGCAGCGGCCCGAACACGAACGTGTTCGGGCGAACCTCGAACACTGTTTGGCGAACACTTTAAGCAAAAAAAAACAAAGTCCGAGGCGAACCGAACAGGTGTTCGCCCTTGTGCTCATGTCTACTCTCACTCTGTCCTCTTTTGATGCAACTCAAAAGAGTGTAAAAGAGTAGTTCCTTTGTCCATCGCTCTCCTCTCAAGGCTGTGGATCATCTTTCACTCTCTGTCTCGCTCTTCCTCGCTCGCTCTGCCCCTCTCTTCTCTTGCTTCTCCTACATTGACCTCTGCTGCCCTGCATTAACCTCTGCTGACCCTGCGTTGGTCCCTGCTGACCAGCATTGTCCTCTGTTGACCTGCGTTGGCGCCTGTTGACGTGTGTTGACCTCTTATGCCCTGGGTGGGTTGACCACTGTGGACGTACGTTGACCTCTGTGGACTCATTCCTGTGCTCCTTCCTTTCGCGCAGCAATTTGGGTGGAAACACCAACTTCGAGGGGGAGGTGCTCCCAGCAGTGGCAACCCTCAGCAGCTTGGTTGTCGTGTAAGCAGGCCCCCAGGTCCCTTCCCTTCCCTTCCCTTCCCTTCCCTTCCCTTCCCTTCCCTTCCCTTCCCTTCCCTTCCTTAAAGGGTTTTAAGGTTTCTAAAGATTCACCTGCACTGCACCCACATTGCCAACTAAGCTCTGCTGTAAGAAGGTCCCTTAGCTTTGGCTGGAAGCATCAACTTCGAGGGGGAGGTGCTTCCAGCAGTGGCAACCCTCAGCAGCTTGGTTGTTGTGTAAGCAGGCCCCCAGTCCAGTAACCCACATTGCCAACTAAGCTCTCCTGTAAGAAGGTCCCTTAGCTTTGGCTGGAAGCATCAACTTCGAGGGGGAGGTGCTTCCAGCAGTAGCATACCTCAGCAGCTTGGTTGTCGTGTAAGCAGGCCCCCAGTCCAGTAACCCACATTGAGGTCGCTTAACACTGAGTCCTTCCAGCATTAGCAATTCTCAGCAAGTTGGTTGCTGTGTAAGCAAGCAGGTCCCTTCACCACATTTCGGACTAACTTGATTCCCATGTCAGAAGGCCTCTGTGTTGTGCGGGGTTGTCTGTCCCTGCAGCACCACTCCGAATTGAGTTGGCCGACAAGCATTTTTAAGTTGCGAAGCAACCCTTTACGATCGATTTTGCCAAAATCTATTTTCATATTTATTTCCATTTTTTTTTAATAAAATATGAAAATAAATTTCGTGAACTACAGTACCCTTCCCAAACTGTTGAGTAGTTTTGAATACTGTTCACATTAAATTAAACCATGTGATCTTTCTTTGTCAGTGGTTTTGTGCAGATATGCTATATTGTTTGTATTAGTATGTTTTACTATTAAATATTGTTGTGGTAATGATAAATAGATGCATGATGCATAAATAATGCTATAGGATGCATAATATTTAATATAATGTCATGAATCATGATGTACATGCATGCACATAATAAAATGCGTAACAATTAACGACCCAAAAACTAAGCTACCGCCATCCCCTGCCTAGCATGGGGGGGAGGTCAATAGCAAAGATTTTGAATAATCAACTGTCACATGAAACAACACAATCTGTGAAGTCTAAAAAAAAGGTCAACCCTATCAAATCCAGTTCGAAGTGGTCGCACACGAGTCAGTGAGTGCGCCAATGAACCTTTTGTGAAATGATAGGCCTGAGCCTTTTTGTTAAAAATCACAGACATGCATTGTTATTGCAATGTATAAATTTACACATACATACACACGCAAATACACACATACATACATACAGACTCACATACATACGTATACGTATACACACACACTTACAACGCATACATTAAACATAGTTACTCACACAAGCAAACACATTCACACAATCAAAAGCACGAACACCGGCAAACCAGCAAAAAACGCGCGATAATAAATAACATGCAAATCAACGTTAAAAAGACAATATGATAAATCCCTATCAGTGACCAATACACATTTTCCAGATTGAAATCGCATTCCTGACCAGCAAGGCTCCTGAGAAACGGGTTTAGAAAGTGGAAAAGAGGATCGGAAAGAAAGTAAAAAAAAACAGAAAAGGGTATGAGGTGTGATGAAATGACGAAAAAAAGGAATAACAAAGAAACGAATGAAACAATACAAGGGCTAAGAAAAACGCCGTGAGTATTGAAGGGTTAGTGCTGACAAATAGCAATGAGAAGAACGTACCAAGGCATTAAACAAAAGTAAGGAACGGAAACAGAGGGAAAAACACATAACGAGACAGTAAACGAAAGAAGAGAATATAACGAAATACGGAGAGCGAGAACAACGGAGAGCGAGAGCGTGAGAGAGAGGACGAGAGAGAGAGGACGAACGAGAGAGAACGAACGAGAGAGAACGAACGAGAGAGAACGGACGAGAGAGAGAATGAACGAGAGAGAGAGAACGAGAGAGGGAGAGAACTATAGAGAGAGAATGAGAGAGAGAGAATGAACGAGAGACAGAGAGAACGAGAGAGGGAGAGAATTAGAGAGAGAGAGAACTAGAGAGAACGAACGAGAGAGAGAGAACGAGAGAGAGGGAACGAGAGAGAGAGAACGAGAGAGAGAGAGAGAACGAACGAGAGAGAGAGAGAGAGAGAGAGAGAGAGAGAGAGAGAGAGAGAGAGAGAGAGAGAGAGAGAGAGAGAACGAGAGAGAGAGAGAGAGAGAGAGAGAGAGAGAGAGAGAGAGAGAGAGAGAGAGAGAGAGAGAGAGAACGAGAGAGAGAGAACCATGAGATAAGCTGAAGTCCTACAGAAAGCCTAGAACCTAATACATAAACAGTTTGCAGCCCCTTAGAACGACCAACACTAAGTAGACGAGTAGAATACGACCATAAAAAACATGCTAGTCTAACTTAGTTTATTACTATCACCTAACTTAGTTCTAAAACATAAGCAGAACAACTTCTGACCTTTGAGTGGTAGGTGGAGCTTGGGAAGCTGGAGCAAACCAAGAGAAACCAAGAGAAGAACCGGGCTCCTCTAGCGTGAGGAAGAGAGAAGAAAGAGACGGGGAACAAATCCTAACGATTGCAGATTCGTCGCAACAGAAATTTAACTATAATTTAAAACACCGTTCCGAAACGGTGCTTCAAGCGCAGTTGGTCGAAGGTGATTGTGGTATCTAGAGGAGGAGTGTTCAATTCTTGCGCGCGAGTTGTTTTCTTCCATGCGGACACAATTCAAAATTAAGTACCAAACCTGTTACAACAACATTCGATACTATATATAATATTGTATGATATTGTATGGTGTGAAATATTGCAAAACGCTTCGCAACCCTAGGACGACTTGTCGCCTCTTGTTTTTTTTTTTTTTCCTGCTGATGTGTGGATCTTGTGAGCACCACTCCATCAAGGTCGCTCTACTGTGGTGGGTGGAAACATCAACATTCTGTGTAGGTCCAGTGACCCCGCATACAAGACAGGATATCAGGTGCCTCAGAGAGTTTTTTTACATCCTGCTGGGTGCATTTACCTCTCATACAGAAGCTATCTCTTTCCACCTCTGCAACCCTCATCCTCTCTCTTCTCTCTACTCCCTCTCATCCCCTCCTTGCAGTGACCTTGCTAACAACACGTTCTCAAGTTCCATCCCTTCAGTGCAGGTTGCACTGCTCCCTCTGTACCTGCAAGCTTCGCCGCTTTGTCACTCTTCTCTCTCTTCGCACTCTCCTCTCTCTTCGCACTCTTCTCTCTCTTCTCTCTACCCCCTCTCATCCCCTCCCGGCAGCGACCTTGCTTACAACAGGTTCTCTGGCTCCATCCCGACAGAACTTGGCAGGCTCACCAACTTGCAGTCTGTGTAAGAATCTGACTTCTGAGGCGCCGCAGTAGCATAGCAGAATATGGCTAGCTCACCATGCAAGAGACTCACCAACTTGCAGTCTGTGTAAGAATCTGACTTCGGACTCAATAGCAAGCAGAATATGGCTAGCTGACCTGACCATGCAAGAGGCTCACGTTTTGAGTCGACTCAAAACACGGCTCACCCATGCAAGAGGCTCACCCATGCAAGAGGCTCACCCTTGCGGTTTGTGTAAGAAGCTGCCTTTTGAGCTGCCTCACCTCAATAGCAGAATTTGACTCTAGGATTCTTGTCAACTTTGCTCCCTCCCCGTGCTCCCTCCCCACCAATTCAACAGTCAACTCTGCTCCGCATGCAAGACTCGTTTTTAAGAAACACCTGTCTGGCACACTTTTCCGCATGCCCCATCCGGCACGCCCCTTCGTACCTCATTGCACCCCTTCATACCCCATCTCACACCCCTTCATACCCCATCTCACACCCCTTCATACCCCACCACCCCTACTATTTTCCCTCCGTCAGCGTCCTACTTTACAACCAGTTCACAGGCAGCATCCCTCAAACCCTCTCTGCGCTTAAGAACCTCACTCACATGTATGCCTGCGGATTGTTTATGATGCTGTGGTGCGGTGCGGTGTGGTGCGGTGTGGTGCGGTGTGGTGTGATGTGGTTTTGTACGACCAGTTCACACGCAGCATTCCGCAAAACCTCTATTCGCTCAAGAACCTCACTCACATGTATGCAAGCAGATTGTCATGGTGTGATGTGGTGCAGTGTGGTGTGGTGTGGTGTGGTGTGGTGCGGTGTGGTGTGGTGCGGTGCGGTGTGGTGCGGTGCGATGTGGTGTGGTGGGCTTCTGTACAACCAGCTCACAGGCAGCATGCCACAATCCCTGGGCTTGCTAAAGAAACGCACTCACATGTATGCCTGCCAGGCAAACTGTGATGGTGTGTAGCAGCGCGGTGTGGTCTGGTTCATGATTCCTCTCATCTCATCATTCCTCTCATCATTCCTCTCTTGAGAAGGGCCTCTCCATCCCTCCCATATTGCCTTTGCCAACCCAGTGACTCTGAGTCAACTCACAAGCCATCCCTCCCACCATCCCTTCCACCATCCGTCTCACCATCCCTCCCTTCCCTCCCACCATCCCATCACCCCAGGGACTTCGCCCAAAATATCTTTCGAGGCACCATCCCTTCATTGTTCGCCACCCTGACCAAACTCGACATGCTGTATGTTCTACTCTGATGGGACATTCTGTTTCTTGAGGCACCTTATGATCATGCTCTTATCGCATCTTATGAATCTTTGAGGCGTCGCAAAAACACTCTCATATCACGTGCCTTATGATCATGCTCTTATTGCACCTTACGGTTCCTGCATTTCTATAAGCTTGTGCTGTGGTGGCATGTTGGATTGACCCAGAAGTGGGTTCCCTGAGTTGCCATAAGATTGCTCTAATTAAAACGGCAAGGGTATGAGTACATTTAAAGACCGAGCCTTGCTGAGGAAGAATGGCTGCTTTATTCATTCTACCATGAATTAGGTGTTCTTTCATCAAAGTAATGTTGCAAGGGAAGTGCGACAAAATCTCCACTCCAACCGCCTTCCCCTTTTGCAGGCACTTTGACAATAACCAGTTTTCTGGAGAGATTCCTGTAATACCCAATAATTCATTCTCCGACCACGTTGCCCCCTTGTGCAGGCACTTTGACGATAACCAATTCTCGGGAGAAATTCCTTACCAATTGCCCCCTCCATGCTCTCTTTCTTTCCCCTCCACCACGTTGCCCCCTTGTGCAGGCACTTTGACGATAACCAGTTCTCGGGAGAAATTCCCTCCCAATTGGGAAGCCTCACAAATCTCACATACCTGTACGATTCCAAGAATCCCCCCTCTTTACTCGTTTTTTAGATTCTACAAATGGTGCAAACTTCTGACAGAGTCTAGGGTAAGAGTGCGAACTTGTTCTAGTTACTTCACATTCTGGTACGCTCGGCTGTCTGTGGGAATACAGAACTTAGTAATTATACTAATACTAAATTCCAACTCACAAGGTATTGCCATTATTGTCGCACGTTGACAGTGTGATGCGATGCATTACAATACCACCCACCACCTCTCTCCAGAGGTTTCGTCACCAGTGCTCTCCAATGTCACTTCATATGCCCCATTGCCATGCCATCACCTGCCACCCGCTACCTCCCTGCAGGGGTTTCGCCACCAACGCTCTCTCGGGCACCGTTCCACCCACCCTCGGGAATCTCCTGCTCCTCACATCGCTGTGAGTGTACAAAAGGGAGTGACTTTAATGGGAGGTCTGAGAGAGTAAGGCGAGGTGTGAGTGTAGTGGAAGCTGGCTGTTGCTGTTGCTGATGCTGATGCTGATGCTGATGCTGATGGCGATGCTGCTGCTGCTGATGCTGTTGCTGATGCTGTTGCTGATGCTGATGCTGATGCTGCTGCTGCTGCTGCTGCTGCTGCTGCTGCTGCTGCTGCTGCTGCTGCTGCTGCTGCTGCTGCTGCTGCTGCTGCTGCTGCTGCTGCTGCTGCTGCTGCTGCTGCTGCTGCTGCTGCTGCTGCTGCGGCCTCCTCTCCCCCCTCCCCAGTGAGCTCAACGAGAGTGGCACAGTCTGCCCAGGAGCCGGTCAGCCGTGTGTGGTCCATCAGACCCCCTCCTCCCCTCTCTCATCCTCTCCCCCTTCGCCCTGCCTCCCTCACACACCCCCCAGAGAGCTCAATGAGAGCGGCACGGTGTGCCCCACAGGAGCTCCTCCTGCTCCAACAGCCCAGCCCCTGCCCCTGGCTCTCCAGCTGCAGCCACTACCCCCCTCATTTCTCTCCCCCTCTCCCCCTCTCCCCCTCCCCCTCTTCCCCCCTTTCCCCCTCTCAACCTTTCTTCTCCCTCCCTCAATTCCAGTGAGCTCAACGAGAGTGGTATGGTGTGCCCAGGAGCAGGCCAGCCGTGCGTGGTAAAGCAGACCCCCTCCTCCCAGTTCTGCATCAACTGCCCCGACTTCTGCTCCTCCTGCTCCAACAGCCCAGCCCCTTCCCCTGGCTCCCCTGCTGCTAGCCCCTCCCCTCCTCCTCCTCCTGCCAATAACACTCCTTCCACAGACTCATCTTCCTCCTCCTCGTCCGGCCTGCCTCTGGGAGCTATCATTGGCATTGCTGTGGGAGGTGTACTCGTTATTGTCCTCCTCGTTGTTGGCCTGTTTCTGCTCTGGAAGCGAAGGTCCCCTCAAGGTGAAGTATGGATTGCTTAATTGACGTGGATTTCCTCCACTGGCAGTTGTTTCTGGATTGGATTGCCACTGTTCGTCTTCACAACCCTCCCGTCGTCTGCATAATAACCCTCCTTCCTCACTGTAAACACTTTGAATGAAGGTACGTTATGCTCATGTTGTGTTGTGTTGTGTCTGTCACAAGCTGGTGCGTGACACATGGGCAGAGGTCAACCACATTGGGTTGGGAACTCGAAGCTGCTTCTGGTCTTGAAGTCACGGTGCCCAAACCTTCCAGCTTGTGTTCCCATACCATACCATCCCACCCCATCCCATCCCGTCCCATCCCATCCCATCCCGTCCCGTCCCATCCCGTCCCATCCAATCCCATCCCATCCCACCCCATCCCATCCCACCCCATCCCATCCCGTCCCATCCCGTCCCGTCCCGTCCCGTCCCATCCCGTCCCATCCCATCCCGTCCCGTCCCATCCCCTCCCGTCCCGTCCCGTCCCGTCCCGTCCCGTCCCGTCCCGTCCCGTCCCGTCCCGTCCCGTCCCGTCCCGTCCCGTCCCACCCCACTCCATCCCACTCCACCCCACCTCATCCCATCCTATCCCTTGTCACTCCAGCAGGCGGGGAGGAGGAGGCCGATGAAACACAAGCAACCAATGTGGCAACTCAAGGCAGTGCCTTGTCAGTGGTGCCAAGCCAGGCGCTCATGTGTCAGCGCTACTCCTTTGCCACTGTGGCCAAGGCAACGGACAACTGGGCAGAGGCGAACCACATTGGGTCAGGCGGGTACGGCGAGGTGTATCGGGGGGTGTGTCCGGCTGACCCGTCTGTGGTGTGGGCTGTGAAGCGCGCCAAGATACTCACCAACGACTTCAGGCGAGAGGTGTGTGTGGGAGAGAGATCAAGGCAGCCAGTTTTCTTACTACTCTTCCTGACGATGGTTCCAGCTGAAACGTTTGTACGCCTCTATTTCTACTGAATGATTCAAGTGACCCGCTTCATTGCGCTCCACTACCCTACTTCAGTTCCTACTCTAGCGACCCGCCCGCAGCGCGGCCCGCCTAGTAGAAACGAATTTTCCCTAAAGATTTCCAATGAATCCTTACTCTTTAAGAGATGAACAGGCGAGGCATATGCGGACTACAAGAGGTGTGTAAGACACGAGTGTAAGAGGTGTGTAATAAGCAATACTAATAGTAAATATAGTAGTTATAATAGTAGTAAGAACTTATGCCCCCTAGTACTGCTTTCTCCCATGGTTTCTCCTTGTTCCCATCCAACTCTTACCACTGCTCTCCTCTTCCTTTCATTCCCATGCCAATGGAGGAGATGGCATGGAAGAGACCCATCATTCACATGAGATCACTGCCCACCACGTCTGTCTGGCGTGAATTCACTGCCCACCACGTCTGCCTGTCTTCTGGCTTTCCTCTTCCTTTCATCCCCCCGCAGGTGGAGGAGATGGCATCAAAGAGCCATCCGCACTTGGTGCGGCTGCTGGGGTACTGTGTGGACATGGATATGACAACAGAGCACCACGAGCAGATTGTTATTTATGAGTTCTGCGCTAATGGGGACCTCGAGAAGTACCTCAGTGGAGGTGAGAGAAAGTGATTAGGTTAAGTGAAGATGATAAACTGTCAAAATCGGACCCTGGACCTTTGGTTAGAGCCACTCAGTATTGTTCTATTATTATTATTATTATTATTATATATATATATGTATTTTTTTAATCCTTAATCCTAACATCTTCCTCCTATTGTCCTTATGATACTCAACCTATGTCCCTTATCATATTCATCCTACCTCCATCAGGGCCCAAGAAGGGCACGTTGTCGCTGCAGCAGCGCATGGATGTGCTGGTGGGGGTGGCACGGGGATTGGAGTACCTCCACCAGTTTGACATCGTGCATCGAGACATCAAGCCCGCCAACGTCCTGCTCGATGCCCGCATGCAGGTAAGAGTGATTCGTATGGACGAATTTGAGAAAATTGGCTCTGATACCACTTGTTGGCCAGCTTGCTACTGACTAGGTTAAAAGTGCATGTTTATTTGGTGGGTAGCACAATTATTACCCCATAAAACGCATCTGTAGCTCTCTCACACTCAAGTGGGGTACGATCCCAGAACTCTAAACCACCAATATCCTTTTCACTGGAGTCATCTTCTCCTCACTTGGGCCTCATTAAGACACTGCCGCTCACCTAGCGTACACTGGGACTCGAACCCAAGACCTTTGGCTTTGATTTGTGGTGAGCTGCTTGACAAGGGTGTGCATGATTTTGGCATCTCCCCTTCAATTGCTTGCATCAACGATGTGTCGGAAATTCGGCTGGTGCGTATGAAGGAATCAGATCTGCCATTATTCCTCCTCTTTTCCACCTCCCCACCCCCCACCAGCCAAAGGTATCGGACTTTGGGTTGGTGCGCATGACAGAAGGCACCACAGTGAATCCCACCCGAGTGGTCGGCACTCCGGGCTATGTGGACCCTGCTTACTCGCGCACCAACAAGGCCACGCCCATGGCTGACGTGCACAGGTTGGTGTGTGATTCAAGAGCGCTGACAGGTGGGAGTTTTGCTGTTTTCTGGGGCAAAGTATCAAAGTCACGCCCCCTCCCCATGGCTAATATGCTGGAGGTGGGAGAAGGGGGGGGGGGAGGGGGTAAGTAACCTGCAAACTACCAAATGTAAAGCTTGAAGTTTGCAGGGCCTTTTTGAGAACTCTTAAACTCAATCTGGACGGGTGTTTTTGTTTCTTGTATCCGATAACCAACTTTTACGCTAACCCCACCAAGCTTTTCTCATCCTGAGTTCATCATGCATTCCCATCCCATGAGTATACTCTTCTGGCATATTCTTATGTTGAGTCTTTGAATCCCTCCATGTGTGCTCCAGCTTTGGTGTGTTGATGCTAGAGGTCATTCTAACGAGGCCTGCTGTGGTGGAAGAGAAGGGCGTCAACACCAGCATCAAGGATTGGGTGAGCACACTACAGAACAATCGAGGAGAACACTGCATAAATTCCGTTATCTCGTAGCGAGTATCTGATGAGCCTTATTGTGAGAACTATACACCTGCTTGGCACACTACTTAGAGATTCTTTCTTCCAGACATTCAATTCACCCTCTTCCTAGCAACCACAAAGCTGCCCCAAATCTTTCTCCCTTCCACCTTCTTTTTCTTCACAGGCTGCCCGCCGCATGGAGGATCGAGACGCCCAAGGCCTCAAGGACCCTCATCTCGACAACATTCCTAGCGAGCTTCTCTTGCAGGTACCGGAGCTCGTGTTTTATATGATTCCAACCTTGTTGCAGCTGTTATTTTTTCTGGATTTTAAAAAAAGCAGCTCTTTCCTAGCGAGCTAGTTTTGTAGGTTGTGGAACTCACACTGCCTATGATTAGCTGCCTTCCCCCATGCACTTTTTTTTTTTTTTTTTCGGACAGCTGGTTTTGTGTGTGGAGTTCATTGTCAGTTGAGATATACAAACCAAGTGTTCGTGGCTGGCTGCTTTTGCAGGTTGTGGAGCTCGCGCTGCGATGCACGGGCATGCCGGCTTCCTCGCGCCCACGCATGCGAGAGGTCGCCTCCCGATTGGACGCTCTCTCGAAAGAGTTTCTGCAGAAAACGACATCGAAAGCCGACTCACGGCTCGAGAGCATTGACCAGGAGGTCGCAATGCGGCAGCCGGAGCAGAGTTTGGATGATGAGTTTCTGCGCATTGATGTGATCTCTGGTGCATGTGATTGATACCTAGCAGGCTCCCAGATTTTACTACTGGTTCAGCGTTTTTTCCTCATTGTGCTTCATTCTTCTTTTCATGATCTTGCAATGAGAATAGTTCTGTAAATGTACACCGCACACATACCCTATAATTGAAGGGACATACTACCAGTAGCTGGTGATGAAGTACCTGGGTAATTATTAAGAACTATATGTTAACCCTTAGTGCGTTGTGTACAAACTATAACGAATTATGGAGCATTCACGAAATGCTCTGCAGCTAGCAGCGGATCATCCAATCACTGACCTCAGATTATCGCGAAGCGAGACTCCGCTCGCGCGACTGCGCGCCACTAACTGACATGCTTTGACATGATCGCGGTTCGCGAAAGCTGTGAACAACGCTGCCCATTCTAGAGCGGTTTGCGCTATCCACCGCTCTGAAACGCAACCCACCAGTCTGAACAGTGATACTTCAGCTGAAAACGAACTAGGCTAGGTCTGATGTAGTTGCTGCTATGATGAAGCTGCTGCTTTGATAGAAGCTGCTGATATGATAGAAGCTGCTACTTACAGCCTCCTCGGCTAGACTTCAGGTGTCTTCAATAGCTTACTTGGTCTGGAAGCTGAACGCGTAGCTGTAGCTTCTGGTATAAGGCCTCGCGTGGTTTCCGATTCAATAGTTGCAGCGCCAGTCGTAGATGTAGCTTTCGTTATAAGGCCTCGCGCTGACTCCGTGTCAGTAGTCGCAGCGTGCCACTCGTAGACGTATCTTTCGTTATAAGGCCTCGCGCTGACATCGAGTCTGTAGTCGCAGCGTTTCATTAAGTAAGCGCCATGGGCGAAGCTTCGCAGAGCAGAATGCGTTCGCTGAATGCGTTAAAACATAGTAACGGAGATGTTAATAGCGCATCTAGGCCGACGCAGCAGCAGCAGCAGCGCTTGAGTCATGCATCCGCCGCGGCTTGTCGCCATGACTGCCGGAACTCAGAAACCGTGGAACCAGATAGCGAGCGTCGCAGCGGTGTCTGCGAGGGAACAGTGGAACCAGAAAGTCAAGAGCGTCGCAGCGGTGTTTGCGAGAATCGCGTTTTTCGGCGCAGACGACGGCAATCCCAAGGCTCCTTAGCGCGTGTGGCTTTCGAGTCGACTCCGGAGTTATTTCGGCGCAGGGCACGGCAATCCCGAGGTTCATTAGCGCGTGTGGCTTCTGAGCCGTCTCAAAAGTCTTGTCATCGCAGGGCACGGCGGCACTCCCATGCTTCATTAGCGCGAGTCCCGCTGCTCCTGCCGCTTCTTGTCTGCTCGAACTTTTTAAGTTGTTCGCCAGTCTCCGCAGCCGTTCTCGTGGAGCAACATCAAGGTCTGTGCTTGTAAGATTGTATCACGTGTGTGTGTCGGTAACCTATTGTGATCACTTCACGTTTATTCGCACATTAAGAGTTTGTGAAGCCATTTTGAACTTATGATCAGTAAATGGTTTCTAGAGAACCCCACTGTGCGTTATCCCCGCAACGCCATTGACGCCTAATGGGAACTTACATGATTGATGCGCTCATTCCTTACAATTATCAGGTGGATAATCTGAAGTAACCTGCAAGATTCATGCTCATGCTATGCTGCATTGCAAGTTCCCGTTCGCCCTTGTCGTCATCCTTTGCGTGTCCAGGCAAGTTATTGGCGGAGTGTGCGGTGGAGATGGGTGCGACGGGTTACAATTGGAAACCTAACGCTCCCTGCACGACAGACGAAGGCTTGGTGTGTAACGCCGACGGGACAGTCAACACAATGTGAGTTGTATACAGTGTAAGGTTGAGCTGTACGCGTTATAGCAATTCTTACGCTGGGAGCAATTTTGAACGGAACGAATACACATCCATAATGTGTTTGAGACGGCGCTTCTGGCGGCATTGCAAGGCTTTTTTCGCCGCATTCGAAGCAAGTTTCTCCTCCTTCCCCTTCCTCCATTTCCCTGCTCGTCTGCTTTCCATCTCGTCCGTTCACTGCTCTACAGTGCCTTATCGGGCTCTGGTTTGAATGGAAGTATCTGCTCCGTTATAGGCAACCTCACCACGCTCGTTACAATGTGAGATGCCTTGTCAAATTGTTTGGTTCCCAATCCCCGCTCCACTAAACCCTTCAAAACTCCCCGTTCCTGATACACTTCCTGCCGCCCTCCCCTCCCTCTCTCCCTCCCTCCCTCCATCCCTCCCTCGGTCCCCCTCCAACCCTCTCCTGGCCCTGTTGCTGCTCGCTCCTTGCCACCCTTCCCTCCCTCCCCCCCGCCATCCCTCCCTCGGTCCCTCCCCCCATCCCTTCATCTCTCCCTCCTTCCATCCCTTCCTCGTTCCCTTCCTCCATCCCTCCCTCCCTCCCTCCCTTCCTCCATCGCTCTCTAAACCTTAAACCCGAAACCCGAAACCTGTAAACGCTAGTTTAAAACATTAAACCCTACAAGGGTTGCAAGAAGGGCTACTAGATTCGGGTAGAGGCTCGTCAAGCACCCCTATGCTCTCAAATTCTCCCCTGCAGTCTCCCCTTGCTGTTGCCCCCCTGGTCCCACCACCAACAATCTGAGAGCCACAAATCTTTGTCAGTCAGGCCCCTTTATTGGGCATCTCCCCCTGTGCCCCCTTCCGTAGCCACTCACTCCTCCCCCCCCACACTCCCCCACCCCACCCCCCGCCCTACCACCAGCGATTTGAGCTACAACTTATTGTCAGGACCTATCCCTCCCAGCATTGGTCAACTTTCCCTGCTGCAGACACTGTGAGAGAACGGGGGAGGAGGAACGGGTTAGCTGGTTAGGGGAAAGAGGGGGAAGGGGGAAATGAAGGGGTAAGCTGGTTAGGGATAGTGGCGAATGCGGTGGATGGATCTACCACATGCATCTTATAGCGCACTCCCTACTTTCCTGCTCCCATTCCTTCTCAGTGATCTCTCACACTACTCCTCACGCCCTCTCGCTCCGTTCCCTGTCACTCATGCCTTCGCAGTGATCTCACATGCAAGTCTTCTCCCCTTCTCACCCTCACTCCCTCACTCACTCTCTCACTCTCGCTCCCACTCTCACTCTCTTGCTCCCCCCCTCTTGCCCAGCGACCTCTCATACAAATCCTTAGAAAATACCTTGCCTTCCATCCACCATCGGCTTTTCAAGCACCTCAGAACAACTCAGAAATCATCCTTTTCTCGCCCTCTATCTCTTATTTGCTTGAGCTGCCTCTTTACTTGCCGTGCCTTTTCCCTTCATTGTTCCTCGTTTCCCTTCATTGTTCCTCGTTTCCCTTCATTGTTCCTCGTTTCCCTTCATTGTTCCTCGTTTCCCTTCATTGTATCGTTCCTTCCCTCTCTTCTATTCTTGCTTCCTTCCCTCGTATTCTTCCTTTTTTCCCTCATCCACTTCCTTCCTTCCCTTGTTCTCTCCCGTCCTTGGTCGAACTGCGTGCAGCAATCTGTATGACAACAATGTGGTGGGAAGGCTGCCTCTCTCTATGAGTGCGCTCACCAATCTACGCCTGCTGTTTGTCTTTCCTCCATTACCATCTCGTTTGTCATTCCTCCATCTCATGTCCAACTCACATTCGTCATTCCCCCCATCTTATTCGTCATTCCCCCCATCTCAGTCGTCATTCCTCCATCTCATTTTAAAACTTAGCTCTCACTTCTTCTCACCGTGCATGTAAACCTTCTGTGCTCCCTAAACCAGTGAGCTTGGGAACATTTTTGAGGCGCCTCAAAAACCTTCTGTGCTCCCTGAACCAGTGAGCTTGGGAACAACTCCATCGCTGGAAGCTTCCCGTCTTTGCTCACGTC